AGCCTGGCGAAATGACGCCTTCTGCGCGCCTTCACCCCGTTTTCAAGCGGGTTTGTGTGTGTGAAGATCTTCCCGATGCGCCGGGAGCGATTCCCAGGGACCGGATGGTGGAAACAGCTCCCCATGTGTCCGTGGCTGACGGCGTTTCTCCCACCGCCGGGCGAGTCCTGTCCTGTGGGACCTTCTCACGGGAGCAGAGCGAGGCGGGAGGTACAGTCCCCGTGCGTCTGTCCGGGGGGCCCGGCGGCAGGGTCCCCGGGGGGTTCAGGCAGGAAGAGGCTGGGAGGAAGCGGCCGAGCACAGAGGCCCTGTCGCCGGCCCCGGGAATCCTCAGCGCTGCCCGGCGACCTCGCTGCTCTGACTCTTCTCACGCCCCAGGCGCAACTCACAGCAGGACGCAGGCTGCTGGGGACTTAATTAGAGGGACGTGGGATTCGAACACTTGAAACCCGTCTTCATTTTCCAGAACACCAGCTACCCGGGACCACGACTAGTGTGGTTTCCACACTGACCGAGGCCCTCATTACGCCCCAGCAGGCCTCCTGATTGAGTCTGCGCCCCAAGCTCCCCTTTCCTCCTGTCTGCTTTATATAGGGGCATAGAACTAACTTAAGCCTGCCCCGACCGGGAAGCCAGCCGGGACCTCCTGGTGCACAGGCCGACGCTCAACCCCTGAGCCACACCAGCCGGGCCTGACTCCTTTTTATTCTAAAAGGACCGTGGTGCTTTCCCTGTACCCCAAGCCCCCCCGGAGTGAGTCCCAACACATGGGCTGCACGTCTGTCCTGCCATCTGGTTGGGCACCTGCCACCCGACTATCTGACGGACCCGTGAGCTCCCGGGCGCCNACCCCAAGCCCCCCCCGGAGTGAGTCCCAACACGCAGGCTGCACGTCTGTCCTGCCATCTGGTTGGGCACCTGCCACCCGACTATCTGACGGACCCGTGAGCTCCCGGGCGCCGCACCAACCCGAGACCTAAAGGCTCCCCCAGTTCAGAAATCCACTGTCTCATGAACAGGAAGGTTTTGCCATTATTTGAAATTAATTACAAGGTTCAGTTTCCGAAAGGGACCTTTAGGCAAAGAGGGAGGGCAGGGTGTGGAGTGGGGCTATTTTAGGAGACGCCGGGTCTGTTTGCGGGCAGCTGGGAGGGGCACAGGCTCCTCAGCCACCAGACGCCGTTTCCAGTCAGTGTCACAAGTCACCTGCTACATGCTTCCATCCCCGGGTCCTTAGAAACAAAACAAACTAGCACAACTAAAATGTGATATTTAAAGTTATAATGTAACCAAGGGCGCTGCTCTGAGACCACGGGGCTGGGACCCAGCGCCTCTGGGCGCTACGGGGTGTCGGCCAGTCGCTCCCACCTGCCGACGGGCTGCAGATAAGACGCTTTTCTGTTGTGCTGGGGTGAAGGGGCGTGAACGTCAACCAATAAACGATGGTGATGATCGTTACTGTGATTATTTTAGAAACACCCAAAGCGGCTTGTCATCGGTTGGCGTCCTCTACAGGGAATGTCAGCCTGAGACTGAAACCAAATAACCATATTGTCCTTAGGGGTGCTCCTAGTTGGGTAAACTTTAAAAAAAAAAAATTATTTAGTGTATTGATTTGAGAGAGAGAGAGATTTGTTATTCCACTTATTTATGCATTCATGGGTAGATTCTTTTTTTAAAAAAAAGAAATATGCCCAGCCGGGCGTGGCTCAGCAGTTGAGCGTCGACCTAGGATCCAGGTGATCGGGGTTCGATTCCTGGTCAGGGCACATGCCTGGGTTGCGGGCTCGATCAGTGACTCTCATCATTGATGTTTCTCTCTCTCCCTCTCCCTTCCTCTCTCTGAAATCAATAAAAAAGATATATTAAAAAAAATAATATATATATATATATGTTTTTCTTGATTTCAGAGAGAGGAAAGGAGAGAGAGGGAGAGAGAGAGAAACATCAATGATGAGAGTCATTGATCGGCTGCCTCCTGCATNAGGGAGAGAGAGAGAAACATCAATGATGAGAGAGTCATTGGTCAAGCCTGCGACCCGGGCCTGTGCCCTGACCAGGAATCGAACCCTGATCGCCTGGATCCTAAGTTGATGCTCAATTGCAATGCTCAACCGCTGAGCCACGCCGGCTGGGCCTTGGTTGAGTCTTACACGTGCCCTGGCCGGGGGTCGCACCCGTAACCTTGGTGTGTCAGGACGACACTCTAACCGGCTGAGCCACCCGGCCGGGGCCACTTCGTTAAACTCTCGAGCCGGGTTCTCCGGATCCACTTCTCCTAAGCTCTGACAAGGGCAGTGAAACGTCCACGGCACGTGTTAAGCATAAAACGCCCGTGGAGTTTTGAGTTTTACAGATTTATCTGAGTCGGCTGGGAAGAGCCAGCGTCTCCCGTAAATTCCGTTGCTCCCGGCAGGGGCAGATAAATCTCCAGGCGAAATTACACCCTGCCCGTCGCGACCCTGGGAGATGAATATCTTCTTGAAAAATAGCAGAACGGCCCCCCCTTCGCGGAAAACCTGTGAAATGTGCTCCACATGAGAAATGCCCGGGGGGGCTTTATTCGCTCTATCTGGGTCATCTCCGGGCCTCCGGGCTGGATTCCTCCCCTCGCGACAGGACCAGGAGTCGCACTTGGCTGCGTGTCGCCCTGTATCTTTCGTTGGTCTGGAGTCCGCATGAAACGGTTTTCCCCGTGTCTGTCTGCCAAGGCCGCGCCCGCATCCTGCCGAAACCTTGCCGAGGGGGGACAGCAGACAGCGGGACAGGCTGAAGCCACTGTCAGCGACGTGAGAGACTTCGAACCGGTGAGGAAGTTTTGTGGGTTTATTGGAGCCAAACTGACGACAAATGCTGGGAAGCAGGATCTCAGGGGCCTGACAACGCCCCGAGAATGGCAGCTCTGCACCTTGTTTCATACGTTACAATCGAAAGAGGAGACCGTACGTGGGTCCCATGAAATCCACGGGTGAGAGATGAGGGGGCGGGAGAAAGCAAAGCGGGAGACCTCTGGGATTGGGTAGAAAATAAAATGATGGACACACTTTTACTCAGGTGGGTGCAGGCGAGTCAACAGTCAACAGCTAACGTGATGACCATGAAAATGAGGGGTTTTGTGGTCCCAGCTCTGTGCTTGGAGGACCCGGAAAAAGGAAAATCACTTGGTGTGTGCAAAGGCACGCCAATTGGGTGTGTCATCTCAGAGGCAGGAAGACAAACGACAAACCGATAGCCTTGGTCAAAGGGAAAACCAACCTCCGTGGAGGAAAAATACTGCCTTAGGAAGTGACTGGCCCCCATAATTTGCTTTCAGTTAGAAAGTTCTCCTTTCAGACCATCCTGTGCGGTTCCTGCAGGTCTGAGTCTGCAAGGCCCCCACACAGCCTCCCCTGAGCGCCCCAGGCGAGCACGCGGCCGCTTTTCTCCGCAGCATTCACGCCGCGATGAACGCCCTCCCGCGGAGCGTCACCTGTTAGCAACTCCAGCTGTTTGTTGAAATGTTTTCAGGGGAAATTAGGAGGCCTCCCCCGAGATACTCACAGCCACCTACACCACACGGCCAGCAGCCTGGTCCAGGTGCCCTGAACATTTCCCGACACCTCACTTCCCCAAACAGGTGACAGAAACCATGGAGGTTACGAGGGAAAAAGACGGGCCGGAACCAGAAGGTGGGGGTGGGGGTTTTTTTGGGGGAGGGAGAAGAAAAGGGG